TCTTGAGGGAAGCACTTATTTGTTGTTATGCCCCTAGAAATGTATCTGGGCCGCACTTGGTCCTTCATAAATAAGTGAGTATATATTTCCTTTTAATTTCCTTGAGATTAAGAAAGTTTATGGTTACTATCTGTGGTTGAAAGCATATTATTCTGGGAGCTACAATAACATTGAAGAAGTCGGTCATATATCAGGTAGCTTTGATTATGTAATTGTTTATCCCAGACAATTGTGTTATAAAACAGGAAGCATACAGAGAATATTCATCCTATTGCTACTGCTGCTTTGTCTTCTGTTGTCACCACCAGTGAAAAGGGGAGAAATGAATTGCTGCTCTATGATTGAGTACCTGAGCATCCCAGACTTCTCCCTTTCCTCTCTCCCACACTCTCTGCTCCATTCAACTGGATGGATTGCTGTGTCCCAGAATTACCTGCTTTTCTGAAGATTCTCATTCATTCACAAGGTTACATAGTGGCTGTAATTGTGGGGAATATATTCTGTACAGTCTGACCATTTTAGATTTTAAATTTTAATAGGGGCTGGGCTCCTGAGTAAAGCTGGGTCAAGTGTCCCTTCTCTGGGATTCTGGACTTGAGGAAAAGAGAGAGGAGAAGGGAGGGAAGGGATGAGGGAGGGAAAGAAGGAGACAGGGAGGAAAAGAGGGAGACAAATGAAGGAAAGGAGCGAGGAAGGAGAAGAGAGGAGAGGAGAGGAGAGGAGAGGAGGAAAGGGAAGGGAAGGGAAGGGAAGGGAAGGGAAGGGAAGGGAAGGGAAGGGAAGGGAAGGGAAGGGAAGGGAAGGGAAGGGAAGGGAAGGGAAGGAAAGATGGAAGGAAGGAAGTTGTGTGTCTGTTGAAAGGCAGTTCTGTTGGAAGAGAAAAATGATGCACTGAGGAACACAATAATGAGATAGAGCAGTAGTTCCCATAGTGTTCAACTTTGATTATGATTATATGATTTTTCCTAGGATTCAGACATATTCCTTTCTTTAGCTCTGGGAGACACCTCCATGTTTTTATAATAACGATTCAAATTGGATTTCTGTCACTTGCAAGCAGAGTCTTGGATAATACACTTAAACTGTCATTTGGAGAAAATTACACTTAACTTACAAAGCTATTCTATTCAGCTGAGGGAGTCTATAAATAGATTAGAAAAACAGCAAGGGAAATCATAGATGTTTTGGATTTTGAAGAGACCTTCAAGAGCCAGAATCTGGAGAGATAAAGTGATTTGGCCAATTACCATCATCAGTTTGCCAAATAGTCTGGTTCTTAATGCTCTTTACTTTTTATTGCATTGCTCAATTTCTTGTTTCATTTCCTTTTGGTCGGCTTGCTCATTCTTTGGTCCTGTGTCTTTGGCGCACTGCTCTTCTGCTGATTCTCACATACATTTCACATATTCCCTTTCTTTGGCCCTGCATTTCACTGTTAGTATCAGGTTAAATTACTTTCTTAGTGTATCCTGTACTCAAACATGACAGTTCTCTAATTGATCTCTATTCTTTACTGGGTTTAAGTCACCTTAATGAGCTTCCATGAAGGGAATTTCTAGTCTCCAATAATTGCATTAGTTTGACGTTAGAACTGTGACCTCAGAGCAAAATAAGACATGAGAAATATACTGGATACAGTCAGATGCCACTTAAATATTTATAGGTGTTGTGACTCTGCAGATAGAAATATGAAAAAAATGCAAAAACACAATGAAACCTTACATAGATTCACTGAATTTCAGTTGACCTGGGTGGATGCTACAAACTCAAAGCAGACTGTAAAATCAGGTACAACAATATGTGAATCCAAGGCTCTTATACAGCAAGGCAACCCACATTTGAAAGGCATGACATTGGAACCCTCAGAGGTCTAGACGTGGTTTAGCATTGGCTGAAAGGGTCTAATCATGAGAAAAATATCCTGGATATTTTTGGTCTACATCCCAAGGTAAGGGGTGAATCGTATCCCTACAGAATTCATGGTTGAGGTCTTATCCCCCAGTCCCTCAGAATGTGACTGTACTTTGAGACAGCCTTTGAAAGAGACAAATTAAGATGGGGTCATTAGGGTGGACTCTAATCCAATCTGGTGTTCTCATAAGACGAAATTTTGCTATGTGAACAGACACCAGAGATACCTACACAGATGAGACCATGAGAAGAAATAGCAAGAAAGATGCCATCTGCAAGTAAAGAGAGAGGCCCCAGCATAAATCAAACCTGCTGACACCTTAATCTTGGTTCCAGTCTCTGGAAATTTAAGAAAATAAATTTATGTTGTTTCAACCACCCAATCTCTGGTATTTTGTTAAGGCAGCCCTAGCAAATGAACACATCCCGTAATCCAACTCAAATCTCCATGCAGTACTTACTAGAAGTAAATTCAGTTCAGAAGCTAATGTAAAAAATTATTTGTGATGAAATAATTGATTTTTTAGAGTCTTAGACCTTGGGATTAATGATAGGAATAGTCTGTAAATATATTAAGTATTTTAAATATTTTATAAATACCCATAAAAATATTTAAAATAGTTAAAACATTTATGAAACACTGGCATATACTCTCCAATTTAAATTGTGATATTTGAATAATTAATTTAGACATGATTTCAATTAAGTTTTATAAATTTACAAACCATACTGAAACTTTTAAGAGAACATGAGTCTTTATATTTATACATTTAAATTATTAAACTTACAAGAGTTATGTATATGTATATGAAGGCTTATTTGCTAGTTAAATTTTGAAATAATTAGAAAATTGAATGTAATGGAGATCACAAATAAAATTTAAAATATTTAAAGAAATTTAATTAAACTATAAAAGAACTCATAAAATGACAGTAAAAAAATTCACTGTCTATAGATAGAACAATAAAATTTATGCAAATACTTAGAATATAAGTAACTAGAGTTTTGAATTTATAAATGTAATAAATCAAATACTTACTTTATTTCAAAATAATCTCAGAATTACAGAAATAGTATAGCACAAAGACCTTTTCCCCCCGAAATATTTATACATAATTTGCTGACATGATGCCTGTTGACTCCCAAATGCTTTAGTGTAATTTCCCAAAATCAAGGATATTTTCTCATATAACCACAACATAATCATCAAAAGTAGGACATAGACATTTTACATTACTACATTTTGCATTACTCATCTTCAGAAAAATTCTAATTTCACCAATTGTCCCCAAATCCCCTTTATAGGATAAGAATGTAATTCAGAATCATGGGTTGCATTTGATGATCACGTGTCTCTAGTTTCCTTCAATCTGAGACAGTTTCTCAGTCTTCTGTTTTCAAGAACTTGACTCCTTGAAGATCTCAGGCCAGTTATTTTGCATAATGTCCACAGATTTTTTTTTTTCCTGAGTTTTCTCTTGGTTATATTCAGGTTATGTAAATTTGGCAGGATTATTACAAAAGTGATGAGGAGTTCCTGTGTTCATATTACTTGGTGGGGAACAAATTCAGTTTGCCTCATTACTAAACACATTCTCTTTGATCACTTTTTGAAAGTGGTGTCTTCCAGGTTTTTCCATCATTCCCTCTATAACTAATACATGTTTTGTGGGAGATACTATGTAAATATCCTGTTCTTCATCAAACTTTGCTTTTATTCCTTTCTGTGGATCCTTATGGCCTCATAATTTCCTGCTTTCTGTTGTTTTCATTATTTTGATGCCCAACCTTTCTCAGGTTTGGCCAATGGGAACGTTTCCAAGGTGGATCCATTATTCTTTTGACAAATCCCCTTCATTTTTCAAGAACTTCTTTGATTTCTGGTACAAAAAAAAATATTCTAGCCTTTGTATTTTCCCTGTCTCAGCCCAGGACATTTTCCCAAGGATCGCTATTTCCTTTTGGTAGAAAATGGTGGTGACAAACTAAGATCTGGGTGCTATATGTGCTCATCCATATAGGGTGTTGTTGCTTTGAGGCCCTCTCTTTGAACTGAGTGAGGGAAGATGTATATGTACATACATTAACATACATTCTGTATCTGTTGTATATATTGAAAATGATAAGATCACACCAAAATATCCCATTCTAATTTAACACGACTCTACTCATTCTGAGTGGATCTACCATCTCATGTCGGGCCATCAGTTTCCTGCTGAATACACCTTGCTCACCCCATTGGAACTCTGACACTCTGCTCTGGGCTTTCCCATTCCCACATAGCAGATTTCTACCTTGCTTGGCCCAGCTGATTGCCTTAGTACTAGGTTGTTTAGAATGGGAAGAGAATAGAAAGAAGAGGAAGAAACTAATATTAATTGTTAAACCACAAGTGACCTCTGAATAATATCTTTTCTGCACAAAAGCCACCTGCAAGGGCACATTAGGAAAGCATGCTTTTCTCTAATGAAGTCCTCACTTCTCTAAAATCTTTCAGTTTCTCTTAGATTTCATTGTCATGGGGTTCATATTGTCCAGGCACATAAACATATCAAACACTTCATTCATTTTATACATCATGTCATGGGACATTTCAGAATTTATTTACTCATTTAGGTCTATTGAAAACTTTGTATTTATATTTTTTTACTCTTGTTCTTCAATTTCAGACCTTTTATCGATATTCAACAAATTTAGTAGACAGCACTGCCACATGGTATGCGTTTTGGTCCACTATATTTGGCAACAGTAGGACCTGGAACATTTTTGTTTTGGAAGATCTGAGTTACAATATAGTCACTAATTACTATATCTTTAAAGTAGCAAGAAGATTCTCTCCCATGAACTGTTGCAGTCAGCCTCAGTATTTAGGGTAAAAAATTAAAAAAAAAAAACTCAAATGGGATTAATATCTACACCACACAAAGATAGTCAAGATTATGGTTTTCTTTCTAATTTCTTTATCAACTTTTATTATTCTAATTTGCCTTCCAGCTACAGAGCTCATTTATTATTCTAATTTGCTTCTGGTTACAGCATTCATTTAAATTTAGCAAGCCCATTAGGGGGGCCATCTAGCATGTTGGTAGTTAAGTCTTTCTTCTGGAAATGTGGTCAAAAATGACAGCTTGAATGTAGAGGTCTGTCTGGATAGGGATTCTAGTAGAGTTGTCACCTGGGGGAACCTAAAATATATAAATCATATTGTCAATCAGTCCAGTCCATACAGATGATGGGCATTAAATGAATTTTCTTCTTGCTTCAATGTTATAGTAAACAGAACAAAAAGTGCTATGGCCATGGAGACATTTTCGTGTTTCCTCTCAGATTCTTTTTCTTGAGAGTAGTGATAATTCCAATCAGAAGCTTTGAGTCCCTGGGCTGTGACATTGCTGAAAATATCTAGGGTCAAAACAGTCTCCAAGGCTCATGCTTGTCTAGACTCTACTAAACCCCAAGGGTCACTAACTCTGTAGAATTTCCAGTGAAGGACTTTGTAAATGCATGTGATCACAAGTTAATAAAGCTAAAAGAATCCTATCCTAATTTCAAAGAGTATCCAATAAAAAATGAACTCAAGTTTGGAATTGATTCAGACTAGTGGAAGTACCCGACCATAGTGGGTTTAATGAAAAGCTTCTGCTCTGTTTTTAAAAACTATCTGAACTGCTTTTCCCCACCTTCAAATTATAATCTGTGAAAAAAGATTTGCTCCTTTTACCTTATTCAGGATAGTCTGATAGTCAGGCTTCTACAGGGCTCCTGTGGGAACGAGTATTCACTAATGTGGTATTGATAAGAGAGAAGAGAGAGATTCTGAAAGAGTTGGTAATATCTACAATTAGAAAATAGTATTCAGTGCACAAAAGAATGAAGTTACTTGCTCTTTCTTCTTATAGGAAGAGATAAGACATTTAGATGTGGGACTGGAGGAAAGTTTTGGTCCTGCCTTGTTCTTGTGGTACTAATTTCTTATGCTAGAGAAAAAATATATTGGACCCATCTCTTATTAAGTAGAGTCAGCAAAACTGTAAAGACTGAAATGGGCAAATAAAAATAGTGGGTGTCCTGAGTAACTCACCCAGCCAAGTTTTTTCTGCCTTTCATTATTTTTTGTGTTATTTTACAACTCTTTACGATGTGGAAAACTTGATATAATGCAAAATATTCTTGTCTAAAAAGATGCAAATTAATTGTACCCAGTAGAATTCAATTAAGTAGTTCCCTGCACTGAGTCCTATTTTGCATCTATTTGTAAATTAACTTCAGTTTTTCTTATTCCCTATATATGTTTTGCTCTTAGAATTCTCCTCTGAATTGCTTGCAACTTCCTACTGGTTCCCTCTGTAATTAGTAAATTAAATAAAATAGTTGGCACATTCATTTCATATCTGTATGAGAGTCATATCATTTTTATATGAGAGTTATATCCTTTTAAGAAAAATTATTTCGGAAACTACAATGCCCAGTGGATTCACCTGATGGCTGAGGAACCTGTATTGTTGGAGGAGTGCTGTACCTCATGCATGACATAAGTCAGGGCATTTCTTGGCTCCAAGAGGTAAATTCTCTGTTGTAACAGAACTTTCACTTTGCTGATCCTCTATTTCTTTACATATTTTCCATTTTACTACTTTTGTGTTTTGTTTTTGTTTTTGGAACTTTTACAATCAATAAATTATTTCCTACTGGTGACAGTAGTGATTCAGAATTGGGATTTGTGGCCAAAATTTTGTGATCTCTGTAAATGGAGTAATAGATTATAGAGATTTATTCTTTCTTGGATGTAAGACAACAGAGAATCTGATTTATTAGTATTTTATTTTATTTGTCTACTTGTGTATTTTGAGCTCAAATTAAGAATCTGGTGTTTATCAGGAAAGGAAACAACTTTTTGATATATGGACTGATAATTTTTTTGTTTACTTTTGGCCTGTGGCTAATGTTAAAATTCCAGGAAAATGAGGAAATCAAAGTTTTGATACTTGATATATGCTATATGTAAAAGGTTATTCTTATAGAAACTCAGAAATATTTCAGACATTTAAGTTCATGCAGTTAAGGTAAATTTTTGGCAAATTAGACGAGTCTAATGATTTTGGTATAAAAAAAATCTTGTAGTCTGATTTATCAGTGTTGGGTGTAATATAAGCTTATATTCTATTCTGCTTGGGTTTGCTTTTCTTAAATTTACTCAGGTATACTGATCAAATAAGCTAACATTATTCCTACACAATATTTAAGATAATGAAAAATGTAAATTTGTATTCAACAAAATCAAATCATTATTCTGATAACTTTATTTCAATGGTAATTAGGTTTTATTTTTAGTATGTCAGCTAGAAATTAATTCCCAAGATCTTTATAGGTAACATAAAACCTTGGCCTGCTATTAAGTTGAATTATATAATGAATATTCATTTGATATCTAGATAATTTCGAAGATAGAATACTGATCATTTAATGCCTAATTATTAGGCATCATTTTAAATTTATATACTTTTGCTTATATCTCATGAAACATTCCCATTTTGTCTCTTTAAAAAGGTATGTATGTGGCTGAAAAAAGTTGCAACATAAACTTGGCTTTCTGTTAAAATGCTTTTGGAAGAGGGGCGCCTGGGTGGCGCAGTCGGTTAAGCGTCCGACTTCAGCCAGGTCACCATCTCGCGGTCCATGAGTTCGAGCCCCGCGTCAGGTTCTGGGCTGATGGCTCAGAACCTGGAGCCTGTTTCCGATTCTGTGTCTCCCTCTCTCTCTGCCCCTCCCCCGTTCATGCTCTGTCTCTCTCTGTCCCAAAATAAATAAACGTTGAAAAAAAAAAATAAAAAAAAACAAAAAAAAAAATAAAATGCTTTTGGAAGAGAGACCATTGTTAATTTTCTACCTCTAGTTTTCTCTATGAAATAGAAGTTACTTTACACTATATATTAACTAACTTGAATTTAAATTAAAAAAAAGATGTTCTACACACACAATATTGCCATTGACAAATACATAATTTTATTATTTCCTTTCAAAAAAAAAAACCCAACAAATAAAGCTGATAGGAATAACAACAGAAGAAATAGAAGTTACTTTGGTTAAAAGTTTCAATTAATATGAATGATTGAGTTTACACTAAGTAATAGGGACAGACTAATACCACTGTCTATGGGCTTTTGTATTCCAAAGAGAAAGTAGTTTTGTCTTATAGAGGAGGTTTTAAAGTAGTGGTTTTATATATACTTATACACTGTATAAATATATACAGTAGTGTTTTTCAGGCCTTATTTTTTTTCTTTTGCTCCTTTTCAGAACCCCTATACAATCTTGAGACTTACTGGGGACTCCAAAGAACTTTTATGTGGGTTATAACCAACATATTGGAAGCTGAAATTGAGAAATTTTAAAATACTTACTGATTCACTTGATGAGAGCAACGATGAATGTGAATTAAAATGTTAACAGAAATAACATCTTAATATTAATATAAAAATTATTTTGAACTACTGGATACACTGAGAATTGCTTTGATAGAAAAATCAAAATAAAGGGAAAATTTGGAGATAACATTTACTTGCCTTGGCTTATAGTCCTTGAGTTTGTAAAGAAGTGATGAAATGTACTAAAATTTTAGTAATGCTTTTCTTATCTTGGTGGGCTTGCTTTCTTTATTTACTGGTTCATTCCTTTGCCTACTATACAAAAGATTTTTTTTTTTTCTTTTTGACCTTCTGTGTAATCTCTAGATAGCAAATATTCTGCATCTTATAAGAATATTTTCCTGTGCTTTATACTGAATTTATTACATTCTTGATTAAGAAAAAGAAAGAAAAGAGCAAAGAACAAAAATTCCTCACTTATAAAAAATAAGGTCTTTACAATCATTTTAATGTCCATATTTATTTAAAATGTTTTATTATTTTAAATGTTTATTTAATTAAATATATAACTCTGTATTATATGATCCTATCTTTTTTTTTTTATTAAATTTTTTTTTCAACGTTTATTTATTTTTGGGACAGAGAGAGACAGAGCATGAACAGGGGAGGGGCAGAGAGAGAGGGAGACACAGAATCGGAAACAGGCTCCAGGTTCCGAGCCATCAGCCCAGAGCCTGACAAGCCGGGGTTTCCGAACTCACGAGACCATGGTGAGATCGCAGAGATCTGGCTGTGAAGTCGACGCTAACCATCATGCCCAGGAGCCCCTATATGATCCTATCTTAATAAATGTCCAAATATCCTCTGACAATTTTTTTTCTAATTTTTGCTTTCCCATCATTGGATTCTAAGTATAGAGAAAATTAAACGAAACTTTACACCTACTTTATACTTACTTTCCATGACCATTTAGTTATTTGCATAGGTTCCATTAGAAGCTGTTAATTTTTTTTTTTTTTAATCAGGGTGTAATTGTACAAATGGAAAAACCAAGGTTTTGCTTGCAATGTCACATTTGAAAATAATGCTCACTTAATCAGGTAGGAACAGCCATTCTTCAGGGATTAAGTTTGACTTTACTTATGGAAGCAATGCCTACAAAGCCCTGGCCTACTTCTTGGCTTAGAAAGTCTAAGAATATTATATATTAAATAGATGTAACCTTAGTATATTTGGGGGACCTTGAGAAAATAGGAATTTACCCAAATTTATAGGTATTTCAGGTGAAATACGGTGGAGAGCATTTCTTGGGCTTGGTTTCCTAGCCTCAGGTCAACAAATAATAGAGGGTTTTAAAAACCCAATTTGAGATTCCTTATGAAAATTTCCAGACACAATTTAATTTAGTATTTGTTCAAAGTTGTATGGTTTTAGAGCTTACAAAGGAAACTTAAGGTGTCCTATATGGTAAAATAACACTTTCACTGCATTTATGTAAACAACCAGGCAAATCTAATGGCACCAGTCTTATTTTATAAGAATAATCATTCTTTGAATTTATTATGCTAAAAAGAGGAAAGGAGACTGTCAGAAAAAAATTGAGAGAGACTCCAAAATGGGAAAAAAACAAATAGCAGCTATCATGACTACTCACTCATGTAGGTCTTCTCATCTTTAACCGGTATTACAAACCTGTAAGTTGTAGAAATCTGATAATAATGCAAATAATTCATGTCCATATAAATGCAAAGTAGTGTTCCTTAGAATGCACCTGATTTTTGCATTGATGTTGACAGGCCAGTTTTGTGTCTATTTGTAAA